TCCTGGCTCCTGGCTTTAGATCAGCTCTGCTCAGCTCCAGCCATTGACATCGTTTGGGGAGTGAACCAGTGTTTGGACGATCTTTTTCTGTCTCTCCTTCTCTCTGTAAATCTTGCCTTTCTAATGACAAAAAGTAAATCTTTAAAAAAAAAAATTGTTTAAGGAGAGTTAACCAGATATTTATCCATGAGCTTACATATGAATGGGAGCCCCTGATGCTGTAAATTCAATGAAAAAATCCAAATGGGAACACCTTCAACAAGATCTTTCAAAGGAAATCACAGGGTTTTAGAAAAGCACTAAGTGCTGGCCACGGGCTTTTGGGAGCTACCCCTAGTCTTCCCTGTGAAAATAAATCCTGCTCTGATTCAGGTGCTGGTCAAGAGAAGGGATGGTGACTTCGTCAAGGGAAAAGTCTGATGGAGATGAGGGGTGAAGCCCTTCAGCACCTAGCAACAGCATTCAGGAGTGAATCCTAAGTAGATGCAACCTGGCTCTCTGTTCTTTTTGTGGATGGTCTTAAACCAGGCAGAGAGGATGGAACACACAAAAGCTAGAGTGGGAAATAGCCCTGTGGCCAGACCTCCTTGTTGGCTATTTTGAAAGGACCCTAGAATGAAGAAATGAAGAGGAGGGGAAAAAGCAGAAAGCAAGCCATCAGTGGAAGATTCCCATCCTTAAACCCACAGACACGTCCTAGAAATAAAGGACAATCTTACAAACTTTTGATATGGGCGCAATAATATAAATCTTAAATCTGACCATCATTACAGGTGTTTCCCTTATTGTCAACAAACAACTTGGGTTACACTTCTGTTTAACAATCCTCAATATTCGTTTGTCATGCTTAAAACTGACCAACTGCCAGCTTAGAACCTTTGTTTAACCACAAAACAATCCTGTCTCCTTTGGGACACAACCCAATAACCTGAATGCAAATTATGTGAGAGAAATTGCCACGTGGCATACCCTCCCAATGGACTCCTCCTTCCAGGCCCCAAGTGCTCCCTGCCCATAACGAGGTGACAGTTCATTTGGGTATTGATTTGTCAATTGGTGTGTAAGCCAGCATTAGGTTGTATGTTCGATCCAGGCCAGGAAAGTCTGCTGGTATTCTAGTGGGGCTAAACCCGACTGACCCAACTGAACCTCCTCTAATCAAAATTGTACAAGAGTCTCTAAAACAAAGTGCTAAAGAAGGATTGATGCCCAAAGCCATAAAGAGAAAGGAATCTTCTTTGTATTTTATCCAAGTTTGTAGAACATGTCTGTCCTATCAGTTAAAACAAATTTGGTGAGCAGGAATTTGGATTTGTTTAGGACCTTAGGGACAGAGACAGGCTTTTGGTCAACACTGGCACATCAACATGATGAGTCACTTTGTCTTTCCTAGCAAACCAAACACAAATGTTCCATTACCTCTGAAGGCTGTACATTTTACAATTGTAGGTCTGTGTTGCCTCTTCTGATCAAAATAGTCAATACTTCTTTTAGATTTTTAGTCCTGTATTTATTTATTTGAAAGACTGTTATAGAGAGATCTTGCACCCACTGGTTCACTCCTCAAATGGCTACAACAACCAGGGCTGGGCTAGGCCAAGGCCTGGAACTCATTTGGGTCTCCAACATCGGTGGCAGGGACCCAAGCACTTAGGCTATCTTCCATTGCTTTCCAGGTACGTTAGCAGGAAGGCATATCGGAAGTGGAGCAGCTGGGACTCAATACCTCTGTCTTCTCCAGGGAAAGCCAACAATTTGGCTGGATTTTTGTGCCTCAGTACCCTGAGATGCTCTCACAGGTGCTCAACCAGGACCCCTGGACCATCAAGGACCCGCTGATTCTGTTCTCACCCAGTACATGGGCAGCCTTTCCTTGCGTTCTCCAGGAGAACCCTAAGACTGATCCATCCATTTGTTATTCTTCTAGTTCAGAGAAGGTCTAAGATCTCTGCGAAGTTAACAGTTTGCCATTGTACCCAAGAATTAAATTCCTTACTGCAATCACGCAGGTGTGCAAACCCTCGGTGGCCAAGGAAGGGGAGGCAGTGCCGAGGATTCCTGGCTCGGGTAGGCTGCTGCAGGCAGTGTGGCCCAATTTTCTGAAGATTCCATGCGCATCTACCTTTCATCTGGGCAGAATGTGAACAGGGTTGATAAGCAGGAGGTAGCATTGACAAGGAAGCCAGTCGTCCTCCTAGTTTCTCTCCAGGCTTTTGCCAGTCCTGCCTGCAGCTTGCAGAACACTCTGGAACTAGCTACCAAAGGAATCACTGCTTGCTTCTTTGGGTCATGGACAGAGTGTGGTCAGAAGGGGGCAGGTTTGGCAGCGGGGGTGGGGATGTTCTCAGTAGCCAAACTTTTCCCCTGGGGACCCAACATGAAAAGGTCTCCTGTGAGTTTAAATGACCATATCTTTCTGGGCTCACTGCATGAAACCTTTCAGCTGGTAACTATGAGAGATCACAAGCCCCGCAACCCTCGCCTTCATGAGCCATCAACAAGAGCTTTTTACGTGGCTTTTCTCATGCTCCAGGGGCAAAAGCTTCTCCACTGCGCCTGTGTCTGTGCCTGCGGGTGTTAGGTTGCTGTGGGCATGGTTTCAGGGTCTCCTTTAGATCAGATGCTGGTCCTGCATGTTGTGCAATCTCTCCTTCTTTGTAAAAACAAAACAAAACAAAACAACAACATTATTTTTATGTGAAAGGCAGTTTTACAGAGGAAACAGACCCAGAGTGAGAGAGGGGGAGAGAGAGAGAGAGAGAGAGAGAGAGAGAGAGAAAGAAAGAGAGAGAGATCTTCCATTTGTTGGTTCACTTCCCAAAAGGCCACAATGGCCAGAGCTGAGCTGATCCAAAAAGCCAGGAGCTTGTTCCAGGTCTCCCACATGGTTTCCGGGGCACAAAAACTTGAGCCATCCTCTGTTTTTTCCCTGCAGGAACATTAGCAGGGAGCTGGATGGAAAGTGAACCAGTGGCCATATGGAATGCCAGCACTTGTAGGCAGAGCACTAGCCTGTTGAGCCACCATGTCTGCCCTGTGCAATCTCTTCTGTTCCCTGTCCACCTCCCTCAGCAACAGCAGCCATTTCCTCACAGCTTTGTCACCATGGTGGACCGTGTGGTCAGCTCTCTGGTCATCAGATGGTGTGGGCACTGTGGTGAGCTGTCACGTGGTAACAGTCTTTGTTCACACTTTGTGCTAAGCTCTCGTCAGAGATTTCAGATAACTCCAAAAACAACAGCCGCCCTTCATATTTACCTTTTGCTTTGGCAAATGTCACTGCTACAATCACAGCCGCCCTTTTGTTCTTACTCCCTTAAAACGTGTTGGTCTCCGGAGAGCTGGGGTCTTGTCCCTGCCCTTACAGAGTGATGTGGCTGCCAGGCACATTGCCCAGTGTAGAGCAACAGCCTCGTATAAATTTGAAGCATGAAGGCTGGATTCCCTCCTAGCTCCCCCTTTCAGCTGCACCCATCCATACATGGGTGACCCACAGAAGCAGCAATTCCCTGGGCAGCTAGTTCCCTGGGCAGCAACCTGTTGGCAGGACAGACAAAAGCCTGGAGAAAAAACAGGAGGAGAGGTGGCTTTCTTTCTTCTGTCAAATCTGCTTTCCTTTTTATCAAGCCATGCTGTTCACTCCCTGCCCAGGAATGCCAGGCCTGGGGCAAACCAACGGAGTTCCCAGGCCACTCTGACCTCACATCTCTCCAAGTCAAATCCAGTTCTGGTGACCACCAAGGGCAGCCAAAGGGCAACAAAAGCCAGCTTGGGGATTTGACAGGAGCAGGTGAGGGGGAGTTTAGCAGCCTGTTGGGTAAATGACCTCTGAATTCCAGCAGCCAGAGCTGTCCCAGTTTTCCTCCTGGGACCTCCCTCCCTACATGCTGGGAGCCGCAGCCCTAGTGAAGTAACCCAGGATCCCAGGCGAGGATTGAGCTCCACCAGCCGGCCTTCAAGAGGGGTGGGGGGGAGGGAGGCTAGATGGGGCCATGATGGATGGCTCCCTCAGGTGGCCCTTGTGGCCTCGAAGGCAAAGGGTCCCACGGGTGACGAAGACCAGGAGTGTCACACACAAAAAACTTGCCGGTAGCAACTTTCCAGCTGTGGACAACACCCAGTTCTTGGGACTTGACACTTCAGAACCTCAGAAGCGAGGTGTGTGTGTGTGTGCCAGATCGCAGTAGCGGATGGCGGTAGGGCTCACTGTCACCGTCCCCATTCCCCCAATCCCATCTTTTGAACATCGGGGCCACCCCCACGGGCTCCCCAGAAGCTGTGAATAATGAGTATACTACAAGGTGGGGAAAGCGCCCTAAAGAAATCCAGAGCACCAGGGATTCGCCACAGGCGGGCCAAGTGCTCCCGGTACTGGGCAAGCTGGATGGGCGGGCTCCGCTGTCTCAAAAGAAAGTGAGACCCCTCTCAGGCTGCCGTCAGCAGCGTGGGAGGACGCGGGACCGGCCGCTTTCCTCACCAGCACCCCCGGCATGGCGCGGCGTCCCGCGTCAGGCCGCAGGGGCGTTCCGGTGAGGCCGAGCGCCGCGCAGACCGTTCCCAGCGAGGCTGGCTCCCGGGCTGGGGGTGCCGAGCGGCCGGCCTCTCCCCGGATTTGTGACGTGAGGCGGACAGCAATGGTGACGGGCCCACAACACAAAGCCGGCGCGGCGGGGGGGGGGGGGGGCGGTGGTCTCTCAGACCAAGAGCCCCGATGGGATGGGGAACAAGAGGGGACCGAAGCGCCCCCGGGCGCCCGGGCTCGGCGCAGCATTAGAGTGAGCTCGGACTCGGCGTCGGCGGCGGGCGGCGCGCGCCGGGGCTGCCGCGACCGCCCGGCGCGCGCCTGGCTCCTGTGGCCGCGCTGGCTGCCCGCGCGCCCGACACGCCGGCGTCCACCCACGCCCCCGAGGGGGTGGAGCCGCGGCCAGAGGCGGGTCCGCAGCTGGCGGCGCCCGGCCCGGGGGCGGGGGCTGTGGCAGCAGCTGCAACGGCGACGGCGGCAACAGCGGCAGGAGGTGCTGCAGCAGAGGCGGTGGTTGCTCCTGGAAGCGTCAGCGCCGCGCAGCCGGAGCCACAGCCCGGAGGCACCGGGTGGTGCGCTGGGTGTTGTTGCTGCTGCTGCTGCTGCTGCCGGTCCGCCGCCTCCCGGACCTCCGCTGCCCCCGGGGCCCCGGCTGCCGCCTGCGCCCCTATCGATCCCGCCCGCGTGTGCGCCCCAGCCAGGACGCCGCCCCCGGCCGGGTCTTCACTTCTCAGCCGCGCCTCCTATGACAGCGCCCGCTCGAAGATGGCTGCGAAGGGCGCGCACAGCTCCCACCTGAAGGTGGAGGGCGAGCTGGAGCGCTGCCGCGCCGAGGGCCACTGGGACCGCATGCTCGAACTGGCCCGGCAGCTGCAGACGCTGGGCGTGTCTGGCGGCGGAAGCCGGCGATCCAGCCCCAGTTCCAGGTTCAACTTTTTAGACGCCGGTGAGTGAGGAGAGAAGGGGTTGGTTCGGGCTGCGAGCGCGCCAAACGCGCCGCCTCCAGGAAGCGCGCCTCCTGCGACCGTGGTGGCGACGGCTGCCTGCCCTCCTGCTGCGTTGGCCACGGGTGCGGCCGGCCCGGGCGGTTAGGAAGGTTATTCTGCTCTGTGAGGGGGAAAAAAAATCACAAGCAGGTGGAGTGTTTGAGAAGAGAGAGAGATAAGGGCCTGTTGTCCTCTGCCCTCTGGGATCCCGGGGCCACTCCTTCTCCCTCCGAAACGTTGGCCCCTGCAAGTCATCAGCTGACCCCCATGGGTGGGCCCTTGTGTCCCTGCGCACTCTGGGCCCGGGATGGAGGGGATCCCTGTACCCCCCAGTTCGAAGCCTATGCCTGTCTTTCCCTTGTTCCCACCCCCAACCTTTGCCCAAAGTTGAAAACGGAACTTGGTCAGCAGCAGACAGGGGCGGGGGTTTGCCGGGCACCCGGGTGGAGCTGTGAAGAAGTGGGGACGGCCGGCGGGCCTCAGTTTGTGTGGTCCATCGGGAGCTGGCAGGATGGTATGGCTGTAGCCCCTACCCATTCTCATCCCTTAGATCCTGTTCCGGGACCTTCAGCTGTGCCCGCGAAGGGCTGCCTGGTTGCAGCAGGTCCTGGGGACCGGGAAGCCTGACAGCGCACCCCTCCTGTGCAGCACTTGCTGTGTGCCACGCACTGGATTAAGCCCTTTAGTCAACTCAGTAACTCCTCCCAACAACCCCGAGGTGGCAGGTAGTCTGGCTTGCCCCAGTGCACAGACCAGGAAACGGAGAAGGGACACACTGGATCATCCGACCGGGAGGCCCTAACCCCAGGGGTCTGATTCCTTTGAATTCAGCTGCACTGTTACCTGTCCAAGCTGCCACAAGGGGTGAGGAGGCAGGGGGTGCTGGGAAGAAGGGAACAAGGTTTCCAGGAAGTAGTTGAGCTGCTCTGATCCCCCACCTCCAACAGCGGTGTTTGAGAAGGCTGGGTGCGTTTGCCCAAGGACAGGTGGCAGGACACTTTGGATGTCTAGCTTGCCCAGGCTGAGGTCTTGAACCCGGCTGTGGGGAGCAGTGGGCAGGGCTGAAAGTGTGTGTTTGGAACTAGGTGAGGCCCCTGTTCAGACCTGAGTGGGTGAATGGCAGAGACCCCTCTGTCCTTGTCCTCTGGGATAGGCTGGTGGGAATGGGTGTGAGAGCTGCTCGAGGCAGAAGGTGCTAGCTAGGAGGAAGTGTGAGGAAGTGTGAGTCTGATTCCTTGCTTCCCTGTGGGGCTGGAAGAAAGACCTTGCCTTGTAGTGGGCAAGAAGTGAAAAGCTTGGAAACCACAAATTCAGTGACATTCAGTGGTTTTTTTTTTAACCACTGCAGGACTTGTCAGAGCCTTTCTTACGCTGAGCTGCATGTGACAGGAAGCTCCTGCACTTCCTAACCCTACTTTAATCCTATTCCATGGCATGTCATGAGGAAACAGTGGTGTCAACAGCCGTGGTAGAGTGCTACTGGCATGGTCTAGTTATCAAGTGCTGCCTCTGGTTTTTTTTTTTTTAAGATTTATTTTATTTTTATTGGAAAGTCAGATCTACATAGAGGAGGAGAGACAGAGAGGAAGAGACAGAGAGGAAGATCTTTCATCCGATGATTCACTCCCCAAGTGACCACCACGGCCGGTGCTGCTCCGATCCAAAGCCAGGAGCCAGGAACCTCCTCCAGGTCTCCCACACAGGTGCAGGGTCCCAAGGCTGTGGGCTGTCCTCCACTGCTTTCCCAGGCCACAAGCAGGGAGCTGGATGGGAAGTGGAGCTGCCGGGATTAGAACTGGCGCCCATATGGGATCCTGGCGCATTCAGGGTGAGGACTTTAGTGGCTAGGCTACCTTGCTGGGCCCAAGACACTGTGTTAAACACATCTACATGCACACGTGCGCGCACACAGTTAAGAAGGAAAGCAGATGCCTTTGAAAGCCTAGCACATTTTCCGGTTGGCTGCTCCTTTGGTTCTTTCTCTGTGGGGCTCCTTGATCAGTCACAGGGTTGAGAAGTGGTTTGTTTTTTTGGAGGGGATGGGGGGGTGGTGGTTGTTGGAGCTGATTCCCCTGTAGCTGGGGAGAAAGTCTTAGAGTCTCACATGGCTTGTCTGGCTTCAGGTCAGTAGCCTTTAACGTTGGCAACTGCAGATCTTGAGAGAGGGGCTGGAGTACTAAGGCAGGGAGGTAAACCCTGGGTTCCTGAGGCCTGGTGGCCCTGCGGTGTCTAGGGTTTCTGCAGAAACTGAAAGTAGCTCCCCGAGGGCGGATTTCCTGGAGAGAGGGTGCTTTTTCTGGGGCAGAAGTAGAACCAGCCGCAGTGCCCTTTTCTTCTTTGGGGAGGTAGTTCTCTGCCACCTGCCAGGGGAAGAGAGGTGCTTCTTGAACATTTTCTTTTTTTTTTTTTTCTTTCCTTTTGTGTAAGATTTATTTATTTTTATTGCAAAGTCAGATATACAGAGAAGAGGAGAGACAGAGAGAAAGATCTTCTGTCTGATGATTCACTGCCCAACTGACCGCCACGGCCGGTGCTGTGCCGATCCGGAGCCAGGAGCCAGGAGCTCTTCCAGGGCTCCCACGTGGGTGCAGGGTGCCAAGGCTTTGGGTTGTCCTCCACTGCTTTCCCAGGCCACAAGCAGGGAGCTGGATGGGAGGTGGGGCCGCCGGGATTAGAACCAGTGACCATATGGGATCCCGATGTGTTGAAGGCGAGGACTTTTTAGCTGCTAGTGCCGGGCCCTTCTTGAACATTTTCTTCAAACTCACATCCTGTTTCTGTTTGGGCAGGATAGAGCAGGGTACTCCAGAGGATGGATGACTGTGGAGTCTGTTTATTAAAACAAAAAACCTCATCCAAATAGTCAAAGAAAAAAAAACTTCTTAAAAAAGATTTATTTAAAAATTTTTATTGGAAAGTCAGATATACAGAGAGGAGGAGAGACATAGAAAAAGATCTTCTGTCCTATGGTTCACTCCCCAACCAGCTGCAATGGCAGGTGCTGTGCCGATCCAAAGACAGGAACCCGGAGCCTCTTCTGGGACTCCCACATGGGTGCAGGGTCCTAAAGCTTTGGGCCGTCCTGCACTGCTTTCCCAGGCCACAAGCAGGGAGCTGGATGGGAAGTGAAACTGCCGGCATTAGAACTGGCGCCCATAAGGGATCCCAGCATTTCAAAGGTGAGGATGTTAGGCGCTAGGCTACTGTGCCAGGCCAGAAAAAAAAAACTTTAAAAAAAGATTTATTTTCATTTGAAAGGCATATTTACAAAGAGAAGGAGAAACAGAGAAAGACCTTCCATCTGCTGGTTCGCTCCCCAAATGGCCACAGTCACTGGAGCTGAGCTGATCTCAAGTTAGGAACAAGGAGCTTCTTCTAGGTCTCCCACATGGGTAACAAGGTCCCAAGGTCTTGGGCCATCCTCCGCTGCTTTCCTAGGCCATACGCAGGCAGTTGGGTTGGAGGTAGAGCAGCTGGGACATTAACCAGTGGCCATATAGTACTGTAAAGCAGTGTTTTAGCCTTTTAGCCACTGCACTGGCTCTGAAGAAAACTTTTTGTTAAGAAACTATTTATTTTAGGGCCCGGCAGCATGGCCTAGCTTGAGCACGCCGGGATCCCATGTGGGCGCTGGTTCTGATCCCGGTGGCTCCGCTTCCCATCCAGCTCCCTGCTTGTGGCCTGGGAGGCAGTTGAGAATGACCCAATGCTTTGAGACCCTGCACCTGTGTGGGGGACCTGGAATAGCTCCTGGCTCCTGGCTCCAGATCGACACAGCACTGGCTGTTGCACTCCCTTTTGGGGGGTGAATCATCGGACAGAAGATCTTTCTCTCTGTCTCTCCTCCTCTCTGTATATCTGGCATTGTAATAAAAATAAATAAATCTTAAAAAAAAAAAAGAAACTATTTTGAAGACAGGGTGACAAGAAGAAATGGAGAGACAGAGAGATCTTCCATTATCTGGTTCACTCCCCAAGTGAATGCAGTGACTGGGTCAGGCTGAAGCCAGGAGTCTGGAATTGCTTCCTGGCCTCCCATGTGGGTGGCTAAATATCTGGGCCACTGTCCATTGCTTTCCCAGGTTCATTAGCAAGGAATTAGGTCAGAAGTGGAGTACGGACTTGAGCCCTTACTCTGATATGGAATGCAGGTGTTGCAAGCAATGGCTTAAACTACTGTGTCACAATAGCAACTCTAGGAAGAAAACTTTGTCGTGAAAAATTAAAAATTTCTGAAACATAGAGAAGAATGACTGCCACTCATCCACAAGCAGCTTTGGTCCTTGGGGACTTACTCTTTTTTGAGCCACATCCTAGCACCTTTCTCCCCCACACTTTAATATTTCAATGCAATTTATTAAATAAAACTGTTTGAGCAAGCCATTACTACCCTTTATGGAACTGTAACAATTCTATTTTACAGTTCGTTTCTCAGAAGCAGGATCCAGAGAAGGCCATTCCTTACACTGTGTCTGGCTTTTAGGTTGGGTCTCCCCACCCCCTACTCAATGTATTTTGAACATTTCATGCTTCAGCAAAGATCAAAAACTCTTGCAGTAAACACGCCTTACTACACTCGCTTTAGCGTATACCTGTCCATCTATTCCTACACCATAGGGTTTGTTTATTTTCATTTTACTTGAAAGGCAGAGAGAGAGAGAGAGAGAGAGAGAGATCTTCTGTCCTCTGGCTCACTTCTCTGATATCCACAATGCACACGGATGAGTCCAGGAATGTCCAGGGCCTGAAACCAAGGGCCTGGAACTCGACGACATTTCGCTGTCAGGTGACAGGAGCTCGGGGCACTGGAGCCCCAGGGGCCACACCAGCAGGAAGCTGAGTTGGAAGCAGAGGAGTCAGGACTGAGCCCAGGCCCTCAGGCATGAACACAGCTGTCCCTTGTGGTGTCCCAAGCCTTGTGCCAGGCACACGCCCTCCTCCTTCCTGTCCATCTTGAGTCTCTGGTCATCTGTTGTCACTTCTGCTTCTTGTTTTGTTCTTCTTTGTGTTTAGCTGATCACTGTTAAGTGGTGATCGTTTTGGAAGTTGAAGTTGGAAGGGGGTGTGTTTGTGGCAGATGACCTGACAAGAGTTCCTCTCTCTGTGGTTGGGGGGGGTGTCCCCGCCTCTGCAGGTGGTGAGGTGTGCAGCTGCCTGCAGCTGCTGTGGCCCTATTGGTGCTTTGGGCCCCCAGTTCCTGTCTGTGAGTGGGCGGCTTGTACAGAGGCAGGGATTTGGTAGCAGCCCATTGTTACTGAAGTGGTCCTTGGGAGGGGATGGCCTGAGGGTGCTCAGGAGGGGCTTCACCATAAGGAGGGGGTGGAGAGACCGGGTGGTCCCTGGGTAGGGGCCTCGGAGAAGAGCAGGGGCTGGAGTGGGCAGCCCAGCTCAGCACCCAGTCTCCTACAATCTCTCAGAGGGTCTGCCTACTGCCCTGGAGCAGAAAGACGCTGACCACTTTTAAACTGGCACAGTGAGTTGGCTTCTGAAAACAGGATGTTAAAAACAGCTCATCTTGCCTCTGGAAAGAAATTCTTTTCATTTTCTAGGATTTATTTTATTTATTTGAAAGATAGAGTTACTAAGAGAGAGAAGCATCTTCCATTTGCTGATTCTCTCTCCCCAATGGCTGCAATGGCTGAGGTTGGGCCAGGCCAAAGTCAGGAGCGTGGAACTCCATCTGGCTCGCCCCTGTGGGTGGCAGGGGCCCAGGAACTTGCGCTGTCTTCTGCTGCTTTTCCAGGCACTTGAGCAGGGAGCTGGATCAGAAGCAAAGTAGCTAGGACTCCTGTATGTGATGCCAGCATTGTGAGCAATGACTTAACTTGCTGTGCCACAAAGTGGGCCCTGGATTTTCATTTAACAACTGAAAATATAGAACTTCTCATTTCAAAATATTCAGTTCCATAGTCTGGTAAGTCGAAAATACTGGAATGGAAGGAAGAGGAGAAAGGGAGAGAGAGGTGGGACAAGGAGAGTGAGAGTTAGTGAGTGAACTTGCAGTACCTGCTGCTGTGTGCTAAGCAGATAACAAATAGGATAGGGCTTGGAGGAGGACAAAAAGTCTTAGGAAGGCTCTGGAGTGTTAATAAAAACAATTCTTTGTCTTCTGAAACTCATAGCATGTGGAAGTTAGAGTTTTTAGTTTAGTATTTATCTTTAAAAATCAGAGGTATAGAGAGGGAGAAGAGAGAGAGATCTTCCATCTGCTGGTTCACTCTCTAAATGGCTACAAAGTTGAGCTGATCCAAAGCCAGGGGCTTCTTCCTAGTCTCCCATGTGCATGGAGGGGCCCAAGGACTTGAGCCACTCTACTACCTTCCGAGGCCATTGGCAGAGAGCTGGATCAGAAATGGAGTGGCCAGGACTGAAACTGGTACCTCTATGGGATGCCAGAGTTACAGGTGAAGGTTTAATATTACTATGCCATGATACCAGCTCCTACCCTGCACCTTGTGATTATAATATATAAAATGGGAATAAGATCTGTCTTTTAGGGCCGTGCGGATGAGATCGTTCTGTAGGATACAGTGCCGAGCTCTTTGTAAGCCCTCTGCAAACATGTACCGCTTTCACAGTCAAACCGCCCATCTGTGATGCAGGAGTAGTTTTGTTTCAGTTCCCACTCTGTTGTCCTTTGATGCATTCATATTGTAATTTACCAGGGAACTAGAGAAGAATGCACAGGGCATATTTTTCGTTAGAATCAATACATTCAAAGTTACTCTGTGGGGCCAGGTTTTGGGGGCAGTGATGAAGTCATGGCTTATGATGACCACATCCCACCCTCTTCACACAGCTCCTTGGGATTGGTGCGTGAGCATTCCCGGCTCAGATTCAGAGGATACGCCCATGATTGTGAGAGTGCGGCGTGCTCTGGGAAGGAGTCTGGTGTCCCTCTGGCATACAGGGCACTGAGACAGGGAGCTGTGGGAGATCTGGGCTGGGGGTAGGCAGGTGGGTGGTGAAGGAACAGGTGGTGGCATGGCCCACGAGGCCATGACCTTGGATGCAGAGTCACCAGGGGTGAGGGGGCGGACACGAGCGATGAGCAGCTCGCCTTTCATTCCTGGCTTGACTAAGGTTGTGGTTTTGACTGGGTCTTCTGTTCTCATGTCCAGCCTTGCAGACTTGGGTGCAGACACACACCGTGGGGCATTCTGGGCACCAGGGTGCACTGCTCTGTTTATCACGTCATCTTGCCCTTCATCCTGAAGCAGCATGATCATTCCTTTTAGAGGCTGGCTGGGGTCTCTTGGATGAGTGTCCTGAGTTTGACTTAGTTAGACACGTCTGTGGATAGATGTGTGGCTGTCTGCCTTTTGCTGGGATGACTGGAATGACCCTGGACAAAGGTCGTTGTCTACACCTGCTAGGACACCTGTAGGAGTGGAATTGCGTGTGAACAGGGATGTACAAAAACCTGTTGCCATCTGTCGTCATATTGCCCTTTGTGTGTTAGACTGTGCCAGCAATGGATGACCGTCTGAGCCAGGTACTACACTTTTTTTTTTTGCTTTTTGTTTTGTTATTTTTGATACTTCACTTTTTGGCCATTACCTCAAAATGTTCATTTTGAAATTGTGAGACAGATAGCAAAGTATCAGGAACATACACCCTGGGAGTGGAAGTCCCCTGCGTCCATGTTCCTGGGTCTCTAGACTTTGGAGCTACTCTCCAGGGGGAAGTCTTCCTTGGGGAGGGAGATTTTTCTTGTATTTCCTTGTTAAAAAAGTTTAGAAAGATTTACCTGCTTATATGAAAGGCAGAGTTACAGAGAGTAGTCTTTTATCTGTTGGTTGGTTACCCGAATGGCCACAATGACCGAAATTGGACTGCTCTGTAGCCGGGAGCTTCTTCTAAGTGTCCCACATGGGTGCAGGAGCCCAGGGACTGGGGTTATCTGCTGCTGCTTTCCCAGGTGCACTAGCAGGGAGCTAATGGATTGGAAATGGAGCAGCCGGGACTTGAACTGGCATCCATGGAATGCCAGCATTGCAGGCAGTGGTTTTACTTGGTATGCTACAGTGCTGACCTCAGGGAAGGAGAATTTTCATTTAGAAGAAGGCCACTTTGGACCAGCAGTTTTGAGGGCATCCTGTGGGAATCCCAGGAGTGAGAAGTGACCGGCAGTCCTTGGTGGATTGCTGTCCTGGCAGCAGCCAGTGCACTGTGAAAAGAGAGGGCCGAGCATGTGGTCTTAGACAGCTTGGGGTTGGCATTGAACTCCCTGAGGCTGATGGCAACCTCATGAGACAGCTGAGAGGCTTATATTCATTCAATCAGGTGTTTGTTGGGCACTTAAATTGAATGGCAGACCTAGCTCTCACCCTGGTTGCTGGAGAGGGGTGGTGGGCACAGCCTTCTGAGGCCCGTTAGGAAACCAAACTTGAGCTCAGCCCTGAACACCTGCCTCCTATATCCGAGTCACCTCTGTTGTATGTGGTAGCAATTGGGGGTCACAAGACTGGGATTTTCAGTTTGGCTGAGGGAGGCAAAAAATTAAGCCAGGTGGAGTAAAACTACCTGCCACGAGGTGCAGTATGGAAGGAAGCTAGCAGATGTGAGAGAACTCCAGAAAGTTCCATGCACAAGCAAATCTGTGTCCCACCTCAGCTCCTCTTTGGCTGTTAGGTCATTCCTAGGTCATGTGCCTTAACATACCTTAAAAACAGCAAACCAGCTAGGGTTACAGGAAGAGTGGGAGCATCAGAATGTACTTCAGTGAGCCACCTGATGTATTTTTTCCCTCTTTAGTTATTTGGGGAGAATTCCTTCTTGGTTTCAGAACCTTGGCATAGTAGGTAAAGGTGGAATGCCAGCATTCTTATGATCGCTGGTTCGAGTCCCAACTGCTGCTCTGCTTCCTATTCAGCTCCCTGCTAATGCGCCTGGGAAAGCAGTAGAAGATAGACCAAAGTTTTAGGTGTCTGCATCCATGTGGGAGACCTGGAAGAAGCTCCCAGCTTTGGCCTGGGCGAGTCCTAGCTGTGAGACCTTTTGGGGAGTGAACCGGCAGATGAAAGATCTTTTTTCAATCTCTCTCTCTCTCTCTCCCTCTCCCTATTTCTGTAATTCCACTTTTCCAATAAATAATATTTTTTGTAAAAAAAAAAAGTTTAAAATGACTAGACATAAATATGACTGTCTCTCATTTTAAATTCTGAAATTCTGAAAGTTTTTCAGCTGAAAAACCACGCATGGGGCAACTGGCGCTGCAGCTAGTGCAGAATGGCCATGCTGTTCTCACGGACATCGGTGGAATGCACTTTTCTCAGGCCTGGGCCATGCCTGCACCGCATGTTGCGAGGCTCTGTCCAGACTCCGTACGTAGCTCGTCCAGGGAAGAGCCACTCTGAGTCTTTCCTCCTTTTTCAGATGATTTTGGGAAATTGCTGCTAGCTGAAGCCCTCCTGGAACAGTGTCTGAAGGAGAACCATGCCACAATAAAAGACTCCATCCCTTTGTCAGAGAAGAATGACCAGAGAATGAGTGAAGCCAAAAATTATCTGAGCAGTATCCTGAACCATGGGAAGCTGCCGGTAAGTGGTCAGGTCCTGGCTGGGGGTCTTCTCATCTTTTCTCTCTTGCTTGCCATATGCCGTTCAGTCCTCCCTAGTCGCTTGGCCACCTGAACAGTAGTTCTCTCCTAGGGAAGCCGCTAAGCCATGTGTGGCTCCTGAGCCCTGAAATCTGACAAGTCCACAGTGAGATGTGCTTATGTCCATAAATTGCACTGTGGATTTTGAAATCATAGAATAAAGTGAAGCATGGGGAAAGGCATTGCTATTTTCTTTTTTATTTATTTATGTAATTTCAAAGTCAGAGTGAACAGAGAGAAAGAAAGGAAGATTTTCCATCTGCTGGTTTGTTCCTCAGGTGGCTGCCGCAATGGTCAGTGCTGGGTTGATCCAGAGCCAGGAGCCTGGAGCTTCTTCAGGGTCTCCTGCATAGGAGCTCTTTTCCACTGCTTTCCCAGGTACATCAGCAGGGAGCTGGATTGGAAGTGGAGCAGCTGTAACACAAATCAGTCCCCATATAGAATGCTGGTGTTGCAGGCTGTGGCTTTACCTGCTGTGTCACAGTGTCGGCCCTAGAGGAACATTGTTAACTTTTAGCTTGGTGTCATGTTCCAATGATAATCTTTTGGATATATTAAGTTAAAGAAAATCTTATTAAAGTCAGTTTCACCTACTTTTACCTTTCATATAAAATAATCTGAAAATTTTACTAGAAAACATTTTTTCTTTTTGAGAGAGAGAAAGAAATCTCTTATCTGATTGTTCACTCCCCAGAATCCACAACAACTGCAGCTGCCAGCCAGGAGTACAGTTGGGTCTGCAAGGTGGGTGATGGAGATACAAGCACTTGAGCCGTCCCCTGTGCCTCCCAGGGTGCACGCTGGCAGGAAGCTGGAATCAAGAGTGGAGCCAGGACTCCTTCCATGCATTCTAGGATGGGATCTGAGTATCCCAAGCAGTATCTTTTTTTTTTTTTTTTACTTTTAAAGCTCTATTTTATTTTTTTATTGGAAAGTCAGATTTACAGAGAGAAGGAGAGATACAGAGAAGGATCTTCCAACTGATGGTTCACTCCCCAAGTAGTCACAATGGCTGGAGCTGAGCCGATCCAAAGCTAGGAGCCAAGAGCTTCTTCCTGGTCTCCCATGTGGTTGCAGGATTCCAAGGCTTTGGGTCGTCCTCCACTGCTTTCCCAGGCCACAAGCAGGGAGCTGGAAGGGAAGTGGAGCAGCTGGGACACGAACCATAACCCACATGGGATCCCAGGCATGCAGTCCCAGGTGAGGATTTAGCCACTAGGCTACCATGCCAGACCCGCTAAGCAGTTAACTTAATCAAATGCTTCACCCCACCCCCACACTGGACACTTTTAAATCACACTTCTGGGCCATGTTTGTGACTTTCAGGTAAATTTCTAAACGATAGTGTGTGGTTGACTGAATATATGCCCGAGTTTGGGCTTCTTGGGGACATGTCAGGGAAATAAGAACTCAGAGATGCCGTGATCTGTTTGCAAACAGGCAACCATGTGGAGATGGCTAGTGATGTCAGAACACAGGAACAGGCCAGGTCGGTTTAAGTCTGTGTGCGTGTATTGAGCACGTGCTGTCTTCAGTGCTCAGAGTGTGCTGCCCATCAGCAGCTTGGACATCGCTAGGGAGCCGGCTCCAAAGAAGTCTGTGGCGGATCCCTTAGCAACAAAGCCTGAGACTGTTCTAGATTGCAGTGTCCTGAGCTGTCCTAGGGGTGTGGGTATATCATTAGAGACTCAATTATAATTTTTATGGGAAAGGCAGACTTACAGAGAGAAGAGAGAAAGAGATAGAGAGAATGAGAGAGAGAGAATCTTCCATCTGCTGATTCACTCCCCAAATGGCCGCAGTCATTGGCTGGAACTGAGCCAATCTGAAGCCAGGAGCCAGGAGCTTCTTTGCCATCTGCCATGTGCATGCAGGGGCCTAAGAACTTGAGCCATCCTCTGCTGCTTTCCCAGGCCACAAGGAGGGAGCTGGAGTGGAAGTGGAGCAGCTGGAACTCCAACTAGCGTTGGAAGCTCTGTTGTAAATTGCCATTGGTCCACCAGGTGACTTTCCTGGCCCACCTTGCCGTCCTGTCTTGGAAGCTGCTTTCCCCAACAGCATGGACAGGAATGGTAATACTTGTCATTCATGCCCTATGCTTATCTTGCTTCTTCATGCTGCACAGTGCCAAGCTGTCTCCTGGACTTTGCTCTGTTAATGATCGTAGCCTTGCTATTATGGCAAGAGCGCCAGCTGTCGCACTTCCCTCATCAGTGAAAAAATCAGGCCAGCAGAAAGGAAATGAGTTTGTGGCTCGAGGCCAGTGCAGGGTATGGCAGGAGTATTGCCCAGCTGGGAGGAACTGTGGCTCTGACCCAGGAAGTGGGAGGCTCCTATGGAGAAACTATCAAATGCCCTTTAAAAACTCATTCTTTTTTAAGATTTATTTATTTATTGGTAAGTCAGATATACAGAAAGGAGGAGAGACAGAGAGAAAGATCTTCCGTCCAATGATTCATTCCCCAAGTGAACTCAAGGGCTGATGCTATGCCTATCCGAAGCCAAGATCCAGGAACTTCTTCCGGGTATCCCACATGGGTGCAGGGTCCCAAGGCTTTGGGCTGTCCTGCACTGCTTTCCCAGGCCACAAGCAGGGAGCTGGATGGGAAGTGGAGCTGCTGGGATTAGAACCTGCGCCGATATGGGATCCCGGCGTGTTCAAGGCGAGGACTTTAGCCGCTAGGCCACACTGCCGGGCCCTAAAAACTCATTCTTAGAGACTTAGTGTGGAGTGAAGTGTGCAGGGTCCTTTGGTGGAAATGTTGTTGGAGGTTAACAGAAGGGTTCTCCCTAGTCATCAGGAGGGCTTCCAGGGGGAGGTGGACCCTAGTAAAGTCCCAGAGCAGGGACAAGAATTTGGACAGGCTGAGGGAAAGATGGCCTGGCCAAACACAAACAAGGGAGGAACGTAACGTGTGTTTGTAAAAACCCAAGAGGCCTGCAGGGAACAAGAGCTTGGCAGGCAGCCCCAGGACATTTCTTGCCATCCGCTCCTAAGAAGGCACTTACGGTGGGGACCTCCTTCCTGGGTCCTAGGTACCCCAGACTCTTTACCTCCCTGCAGGGAGGCAAGGGGAGTGCTTTCCTGCTAGTGCCAGATGTGGGCGCCAGATGTGTGTGTCTCCAGTGAGCTTTTGGTGCCCTTGACAGGGAGTGGCTGGAGCCTGCTACGAAGGAACCGTGGGCTGCCTGAGCGCAGGGATGGAGGCAGGGGCTGTAGCCAATGATCTTGACAGCTAGGCCACCCTGGGGTGGGACCGGACCACATCCAAGGTCAGGCCTGCCATGCTAGAGTGACCAGGTCACACCAAACTAACTGGAACCTTAAGGAGGCCCTGAGAGTCCTCTGGAGGGGCAGGGATTTGGCTGACATCAGTCACACAGCACTTGAGCAGACAGTGGAAGGAAAACAGGTTCGAATCCAGGCCCTTGTGGCCTGTTCCATACTGCCCTTTCCCCGACTTCTGCTGGAGCCAGTGACCTGGCAGGCTCTCTCTTCCTGTCTTGGTGCCACGCTGCTATGATTGTGGCTACAACACCCTGCCGAGGTCCTTGCCCAGTGCCTGACTCCCCCACCTGTGTTTGAAGTAAGTGCTGGAGGTCCCAAGTGCTGTGCCTGCCCTCCCCAACAAACCCCCACCACCCAGAGCCTTTTGGGGGCTTCAGGAGAGAGAAAACAGGGCCCAGGCTGCAGACTGCCTAGAGTCTAGCTGGATTCACAGGACACACAGGCTTCTCCAGTCCCTAAAGCATTTTCTTAGTTGCTCCACAGCGTAGGTGACAGCTGCAGGTGCAGAGGCGGCAGCCATTGTCCTGTGACTGGGATCGGAAGCTTCCTAGAGGAAGAGAGTTCTGAGCAGGGTCTGTGGAGCTCCTTCCTCTGCAGTCACTCCTTTCACCAGGGTCACAACCCGGGGTCACCCACTCAGGGTTGCCTGGTGGGCATGGAGTGGAAACATCAGGGCAAAACCTGCTAACGTCATCCTTGTCCTTGCAGCCACAGTACATGTGCGAGGCCATGCTAATCCTGGGAAAACTGCATTATGTGGAAGGCTCGTACCGAGACGCCATCAGCATGTACGCCCGCGCCGGCATCGACGGCATGTCCATGGAGCACAAGCCCCTGTATCAGATGCGGCTGCTGGCAGAGGCTTTTGTCATCAAAGGTAGCTGTGGGCATCCACGGGGGCTTCTGTCTACCCAACCCAGTGTGTGCGATTGGACCCCAGCTGCCTGAGCAGGCAGCAGCTGGAGAACATCAGACACTGTGTCCAGGGTGGGCCTGCAGGACCCATGTCTGGACAGTTGAGCCCCAGGGGCAGCTGGTACCTGGAAGGGAACATCAGGGAACAAGGGTCTTACTTTGGCTCTGTTGACAGCTAGATGCCAACTGTGTGTGCCCTGGGGCAAATGACCTCTTCACCTGTCTTGGCCTCAGTTTACAAATCTGTAGGACAGGATAGTAGTGCCTGGCCTTCCAGGGTTTCTGTGACTAAGAGGGTCACATGTACTACCAGGTTCAGAAAGGCTTAACCGGGAGCCATCTCCTTACAGCAGGCTGGCACTGGTGGCTGACACTGTCCACACAGCAGATCTGTGGGTGTACAGTAGACTCTGCCATTCCTCTGGGGTTTGAGTGCCTACTGTGAGCAGCTCAGGGAGTGTGTGCTGGGATCCAGAACTGAACGGGTCGGAAACGGTTCCTGTCCCTGCAACAGAGTGAAGGCCATTCTCATGGTGGCTTGGGGACCCGGGGGTCCATGAGTTTGGAATTTGATGCTTGGGACTGTGGGTAACCCGATGGAGGAAACAAGAGAACCTTCTGAAAGTTCATGGAAAAAGTGGATTACTTCAAAATTAGTGTAGATTTCAAAAATTTTTGTATAAAAATAAACTTTGAATTGTATTTCTCATGGACTTTTGGGAGTATTTCCATGGTAGCCTCTGAGTGGGTTCAATATTAGGAAAAGCCCAGCCCCAAACTAACTACTTGCCTTCCCTGGACCCATAAACTCTGGGATGGGTCTCTGGGTGGGCCTAGATGGCAGGGAGGGCCCAGGAGCCCCTTGTCTGACTGTGGCCAGGAATCTTATATGTCTGATTGTTCATTTCTAATCCAGCACATACCACCCCAAACCCCAGAGAAAAGGCAATAGAAAGGCCACCTGTGGCCCTGTGGAGATTTGGTGCCTGGCACTGATGGAGAACCTGTCTCCTGTTCTATGATGGCTGGGGACATTCTCTCCATTTTCTTTCTGGGGAAACTGAGGCCTGGAGAGGGTAGGTGGCTTGCCTGAGGTATAGATGGAGCCGGGACTAGAACCACTGCTCTCTGATGTTGGCCTTGGAACATGAGGCACCACCCTGTGCCCCCAAAAACTTCTGTCCCCTCTGGTTCCCAATAGGTGTGATGGTGACCTCTGAGGAGGACTTCCCGAGGACTGTGTGCACCTCTGGAATCCTTGAGGTCTCTTTCCCCACCAAGTCCATGTTATCTTGGGAAACCTACTGAGTTTACACCTTGGGCAGGCCCAGCACTAGTCTGCACAAGAGGGCAGGTTTCCATCTGGGAGGACGCAGTTGTGGGAGGGTCTTCTCCCTTTGCTCTCTCATTGCCCTGTCTGCGCCTCTGGCACAGGCCCGTCTCTGGGGTACGGGTTGGGGAAGGGAGGGGAGGATCTTCCTTTGGTGTTTGGGCTTCGTGGGGCTCTTGGCAGCCAGCTCTGCCTTGGGTGCCCTGAACCGAGCGCCCTTCCTCGGGTGCCCTCTTAGCGCCTTTCCCTGGGGGATCTGGCTCAGTCTGTGTTGCTTTCTGTCTCCTGCTCTCTACTCTTTCCAGCATGCCTCCAGCTTCTTGGGGGAACACAGTCCTGGTGGTCAGAGGTCCTGCCGGGGAGGTAAGGAGAGCCGGTGTTGCCGGCCTGGGCTGCTTGGTTGCGGGCTGTGCTAGTGCTCTGTCCCTCAGGGACTGCACGTGGCCCTCCCTTGCCTGCCTCATCTCTGCCTGTCCTCCCTATCCTGCTGCAATTATTGCACCTGCTGCTTGGCATGCTGAGGTCCACCTGACCCTGTGTGTGCTCGGCCCATGCACAGGGCCGCCAGGGTGTGCATGCTGTGGGTGCTCCTGGATGTGAGTGTGTGTGTCCATGCAGTGAATGAAGTCCATGCCTAGAGAGGGATGAGGGCGACTGTGATTGTCCTAACTCTGTGTGGGGGCGTGAGTGTGATGGTCACAGAGTGTTCACGCCCAGTGTATCCTGGCTTGCATGACCTTGCACCTGCATGGTCCTTCATGTTCTTGATAGGGAGCTTTGGGTTGGCAGAGGTGGCTCGTATGAAGTCACCCAGGACGTTACAGAGCCAGGTTCTGAACTCTGACAGCATGGCTCCATATGCTAGGCTGAGTGGAAGCGGCAGTGAGCAGAGCTGCATGACCGTGGAGGAAAGAGGGGCTGCTCACCTGAGACATTGGTTCCCCTGTATCTAGGTCCAACTCCTCCGGGCCAGGCAGCCTATGCCTTTCTGGCCCTGTGCAGCCCTGGGCAGCCTCAGAGGAGCTTGACAGGCCCCACCCACTCACGTAGGACCACCTGGGTAGAGTGATGTGGTGGGAGGTGGATGACCGGTGCACTGGGATAAGTTCCTGCAGGCAAGGACTTTCTTTCCTCCCAGCTGCCACAGCCCTGGAGTTAGGAGTTCCCGTCCTGGTGAAGCCCTGAATCACTGTCTCCAGGAGCTGCTTTCCCAGGGAATGAGATGTTGCTGGGTAGTGTTGTTTAGAAACTGTGCTGGACAGGCATTGTAGTGCAATGAGCAAAGCTGCTTCCTGTGATGCCAGGATCTCATGTAGTCATTGGTTCAAATCCCAGCTGCTCCACTTCTGATCCAACTTCCTGCAAATGGCCTGGGAAAAGCGGCTTGAGCCCCTGCCACCCACATGGAAACCTTACTGAATCCCTGGCTTTGCCCTGGAGCAACCCTGGTCACTCTGGCCATTTGAGTAGTAAATCAGCAGATGGAAAAATCTCTTTCCCTCTCACTGGCTTTCAAATGAATAAATAAGTCTTTAAAAATGTGCATATAGGGGCTGGTGCCATGACATGGTAGACTAAGCCTCCACCTTGATGCTGGCATCCCATATGGGTACCAGTCCAAATCCTGGCTGATCCACTTCAAGTCCAACTCCCTGCTTGTGGGCTGAGAAAGCAATGGAGAATCGCTCAGGTCCTTGGGCGCCTACATTCACTTGGGGAACCTGGAGGAAGCTACTCGCTCCTTGCTTTGGATCCTCTCAATTCCAATTATTGTGGTCATTTGGAGAACGAATCAGTGGATACAGGATCTCTCTTTCTGCCTTTCAAAGAAAAATAAATAAATCTTCAAAAAATGTGCTTTTCTACATATGTATATAATTTTTATCTATTTTATTTGAAAGGAAGAGAGGGACCGACCTCTTGTTTCCTGTTCTGTTCTCAGTATGTCTGTATTAGCTGGGGCTGGGCTAGACAGAAGCCAGGAGCTCAGGACTTCATCGAGGTCTCCTGTCTGGATGGCAGGGACCCAGCTACTCGAACCATCCCCTGCTTCCTTCATGGGTGCGTTAACAGGGAGCTGGAATTGGGAGTAATCTGGACATTCCCAATGGCATCTTAATCACTCTGCCAAACATACACTGTGCTTGTATTTTTTAAATCAGCCTTGGTCCACAATGGAAGCCTGCCCCTCTGCTATCCTATTGTTCAGGCTCTGCTGTGGTCCGGCTGTGGTGACTTCTACCAGTCCACGTCCTCTGACCAAACATGCCAAGGAGTGGATTGCTCCAGGAAGGGAAAGTTCCCCACCTCCTCCGGGTTTGGATGGGCAGCCCTACTACCACACTCGTTTGCTTGGGAATTGGATGAGACGCGTCTTCTATTCTGTTTAGAATACAGTGGCTCTGAGGCTTTTCTAGAAAAGCCAGTCTGCAGAGCCGCCACTTTTCTTTTTTTTTTTTTAAAGATTTATTTTTATTATTTTTTCATTGGAAAGGCGGATATACAGAGAGGAGATACAGAGAGGAAGATCTTCCATCCGATGATTCACTCCCCAAGTGAGCCGCAACGGGTCGATACTATGCCGATCCGAAGCCAGGAGCCTCTTCCGGGTCTCCCACGCGGGTGCAGGGTCCCAAAGCTTTGGGCCGTCCTCAACTGCCTTCCCAGGCCACAGGCAGGGAGCTGGAAGGGAAGCGGGGCTGCCGGGATTAGAACCGGCGCCCATATGGGATCCCGGGCGTGCAAGGCGAGGACTTAACCACTTGCGCCACCGCGCCGGGCCCAAGCCGCCACTTTTCTAAAGCTCGTGGCCATGCCATGCACGTATGGTTGTGCGTGGCCGTGGCTGTGAGCCACATCTCTCATTGAACTCTGCATTCTCTTCTCCCTTCCCGGAGCCACGCATGGGCCATGAGAGTGTCAGCCACACACGTTCTGCTCCTGGTGCCCAACATGGTCTGGGAAGCTCTCTCCTCCCCTCCCTCCTGTTTGGGCTTTGCCCTTGCCCCTTGTTGCCCTTGATCTTTGCACCATGAGCCCTGACCTTCCCTTCACATGCTGTCAGCAGCTTCTGTACAGGAGTCACCTCCTGCTGCTTCGCCACCAGCGTTCTCTCCTGCCTCTCCAACTCCCTCACACTGGGGCCTAGCGCATGCCTGCCGTGCCTCCCCACCATCAGAGGTCAAAGCCTTCCACCCTCCCATCAGGAGTCAGCACCCCTCCTGGTTGTGTCACTCAAGATCCCTGACACAGGACAAAGTCAGCCTCATCAGTAGCTGATGAAGCAAGCACCTGCTGTGGATGCAGGATGCATACTTTTTTTTGGATAAGATTTATTTATTTTTTATTGGAAAGGTAGATCCAGAGATGGAAGGAGATACAGAGAGATCTTCCATCTGCTGGTTTACTCCCCAAGTGGCAGCAACACCCGGAGCTGAGCCAATCCAAAGCCAGGAGCCAGGAGCTTTTTTTGGGTCTCCCATGTGGGTGCAGGGTCCCAAGACTTTGGTCTGTCCTCCACTGCTTTCTCAGGCCACATGCAGGGAGCTGGATGAGGAGTAGAGTAGCTGGGGCGCAAACTGATACCCATATGAGATTCTAGCACTTGCAAGGCAAGAGAGCACCTCATTTCT